CTATACATTTTTTTGTTACAGAGGCCTTTATCATTCATCCTTTTTTTTTTAAAACAGAATACGGAGCACCTGAAGATGGGGAACTCAAAATACAGCAACCATGTATGCTCAAAAATCAGCTGCTAAGTAAGAATCCCAAATTCACACACAGTTTATTTGTATTTGCATCCTTAGGTGCTCAAACAGATGATGACAGCTTGATGGGGATTAAGTGTGTTCTCCTAAGGAAGTACTTAAATGCCTTGTGTTTAAAGAAACAAATTCTCAGCCATATCCAAATTATTGTGTTGAAGTTTTTTGCAACCACCATGGTTTTAAACTCAATTAAGGGGCTGGGGATTTAGCTCAGCAGCATAGCGCCTGCCTGGCAAGCGCAAGGTTGTGAGTTAGATTCCTGATGCCCAAAAGAAAAAACAAAACACCAGCTAAACTGTCAGGGAAAAAAGTACTGAGGGAAAAAGAAAAAGAGAAAGCGTATCAGCCTGGCCGTTTTTGTTATGATGAGTAGTTTGTGTAAATATGAGTAAAATTTTAACATCATTAAGATTGGCTTATTAGGATTCAGTCAGACTGTACTGAACAGCTGTGTCATCTGGCAATCAATTCCTGTGAACACACATATTGTATTTATGACTGAGCTACCTCCCCAGCACTGCATGCATGCTTTTAAGTCCTTACTACAATAGATATCAATTGGTCTTTTTCCTTTTTTCCTCAAAGCACTAAGGATAAAATGTCCAGATCAACTTGAACAGAAAGTCATAGAGAAACAACTGCCAGGTAGGAATGAATCTGTCTTGCCTGTCTTACATGTGTCGATAATTAGCTCAGGTATTGGCTAATGGAATTAAAATATGTAGTTCATATCTACAAGTGTGGACTTCAGAACTTAGGTTTCCATTAATTAGTCCTTTATATTCTATTTTTTTTTTTTTTTTTTTGGTTTTTCTCCGGTACCGGGAACCGAACTCACGACCTTGCGCTTGCCAGGCAGGCGCTTTGCCGCTGAGCTAAATCCCCAGCCCCTATATTCTAAAATATAATCAGTTAAGCAACTAACATTCTCCTATCCTCAGAAAGTCCCCGCTCCCATAACTTTGTCAACTTACGTGGAAAAGGTTTCATTAAAATTGGAAGCCTCCGCCAGTTGATTGTTTTTTTCAAGATAACATCTTGGTGTGTTCCAGGTTGGCCTCAAAATTGCAGTCCTCCTGCTTCAGCTTCCCAGATGCTGGGATGATAGGCATGTCCTACCAGGCCCAGTGTGATCTTACTTTATTTTATTTTATTTATTTATTTGGGTACCCAGAATCAAACTCAGGATCTTCCACTTACCAGGCAGGTGCTGTGCCACTGAGCTCCATCCCCGGCCCCTACTGTAAACTAGAGGTCTCACGGCTTGAATGGCTCCCTCTCAAAGGAATTCAGCCCCACATCTTGTTCTCAGATGACTGTTCTGAGAGCTTCTCTGTTGCTCTCAGTTTTGGGTCTCTTGCCTCCCTTCATAAAAGGGGAGCCAGATTCTAGTGATGAGCTGGTGGGAAATTGAGGATTCCTCCTACATTCTGCTCCCATTCTGCTCACCTGTCAGAGCCCAACAAAAACATTCTCAGATGCTCTGTTAACAGATGCACTGAAATAGTTTTCTTTGAAAAAACTACTTTAGAACTTTTTAAATAATGTATTACCGGAACTGAATTAGTTTTATTCCTAAAATAAATACATTTGTGGCAACAAATTAGATCAACGTAACTCAACTTGCACTCAAAAAAATTACTGTTTTTTTTTGGTTTTGGTTTTTTCCAGTATCAGGAATTGAACTCACAACCTCACGCTTGACAGGCAGGCGCTGTGCCACTGAGCTAAATCCCCAGTCCCCCTTACTATCTGTTTTATAGTTTAAAATTAAATTATAGTCTGTTTTATAGTTTTATAGTAATACTGTGAATTCTCAAGATTAACTTAATTCAGAGCTAACTGCGAAAATACACCCAGGTTAAATTTAGAGCAATAAGGGCTTGAAGAAGTAATGAAGTATGAATCTGTCTAAATGACTCAATAAAATACATTTCCCTGTTTGCCTGTCAGTGCCATAAATTCACATTGACTTTATTTATTTTTTTTTGTCTTTTTTGAGACAGGGTCTCGCTATGCAGTTCAGGCTGGCCTTGAGTGCACTTTGTAGCCTAGGCTGGTCTCGAACTGGAAACAATCCTCCTGCCTCAGCCTCCCGAGTGCTGGGATTACAGGCATGCGCCACCACGCCTGGCTTCACATTGATTTTTAAATTAGTGACCAACAGATCAAACAAGCTTAGTGTGGTACTACTTATAGAAGGCCTGGGCTGTGCTCAAAGGAGTCCCTTTCTGGTTGAAAACTGTTCATTTAGTATTAATCTACTACTATTTCTCCATTTTTATTTACTAGCAATCCCATTTCTATTCCTGTGATACACAATTTTGCTACCACTGTATAATGATGAATTAACATCAGTAGTGCTTCCCCTTCATTATTCTGTTTTCAAACTTAAATACTGTCGGTAAAGCGGGTTTGAAGACAGACTTGTGAAAGAGGGCCCGAACTTCTCAGTGTTACTGACTTTGTATGTCTCTGCATTTTGCTCCTCAGCTCTATCCAGTCAGTGTGCGGGAACGTTATCACTAAGGCAGGCCTAGTTCAGCTTTCCTTTTCAGGCTGTCCGGGAACGCACTGAACTTAGGGACGGCGTCCAGGCATGGCGCAGGTGTAGTCCCAGGCGTTTGGAAAATCAATTTCCCTCTAGGGGACACCTGCTATGTTCACACGTTCTTGTTATTAATCTTGGGGTGGAGCCAGGAGACATTAGAAATTAGATGAGATAATTACAGCTTTAAACTATTGAGAATCCGAGTCCCGTGTCCTACAAATTTAGCAGATTAAGGGTTCTTAATTTTTGTGCCACATATAAATACTTAAACACTAAGATATAAATATCTTTTAACAAGAAAAGTCAAACACTGCAATGCCATGTTTTTGCCCTTCAGATTACTGGTTGGGATTTTAAAACTCAGTGTATTGTTTTGATAAAGTCACAGATGCTCTGACCAGGGCTTCTACCTTGTAGCACTTAAAGCAATCTCAAGGTTCACGAGTGGGGGAAGGGTGAATAACTCCGGCTCAACGCTCCAGGGCACCAGCACGCATCACGAAGGAGAAGGAAGGGCATGGGCTATGTTAACTTCAGTTCATGAAATTAAAACCTCAGATCCTTAGTCACAGCAGCCACATTTCATGTGTTTAATATCCACATGTGGTTGCCACGCTGGACAGTGGTTGTCTAGGAGACCTGGCATGGAAATATCTACCACCACATAAGAATTGACATTATAGACATAAAACTGCCACTTTACAGACTCAGTGCACAGAGGCAGATCTCTTCTTAGCACGGTTTCAGATTTCTTTCTGATATGGATTTGGAAGCCACTGTTTTCCCACTTGTGTGCTTGTGTGCAGGAACCAACCCCTCACTACAGTGTGAAAGTGAGTCCACCTAAATGCTTGAAGGGACTGGATTATCATATTCAAACATAAAAGAGCAGTATATAACTAAAATTATAAACACAGTATCTGCCTCCAATACATAAACAAGAAAAGTCCAGTTATTCTAAAATAAAGATAACATTTATTATCACAAGTTGCATAAAAACACACAGCTTTTACAAAAATGATTTTTTATAGAAAAATATTTGTTTGACTACATCCTATTCGTGGGTAACACCACACTATTGCTGTGCCTCCAGCTAAAGCTTCAAAGAAACTAATTTTCGTAATCAAAATACTCACTATTTACCACAACCTGTCTTTGGAAAGAAGTTCATAGTGTGTGGTGAACAGACCAAAGCATTTGCTCATTTAACTGACATTCCCATGCCTGGTGGTCACTTGTGTGTAACACACTGTAACAGTCACAGGATGGTGGTGCTGGGGTGATTCCTGTCGAACATTTAAGTGTACAACTTTCTTGTACGGAGGAGGAAACTAAGGCCAGGGGGCTGGGGGCATCCTCACCTGAGGCCCCACCCCAGGTTCTTCCCATAATTCATAAAGTTGTCACAAAGGCTTGCAAAGAAAATCTAATGACTTCACTGCCATCTATCCCTCTGTGCTGACAGTATTTCTGATTTATTCAGATTAAGGACTAATACTAAATGCTGCTGAAATGGTATGAAAACTCACTGTCAAGACCACTTGGGTCACAAACTGGCTCCATTTCCCAATTTCCCAAGTGACTCAAGGAAGTGGTAGACAAAGTCAAACCTTCCCCTAGTTGTTTTCTTCGGTAAAGTGATAAGGAAAGACACAGCACTGATCTCCTTGTGTGAGCCCGTTTTAAGGTAGCTGTCATATAGAGCTGATGGGTTTTGCTTTTCTTTGACAGATTCTATGACAGTTCAAAAGGTGAAGGGACTGCTATCACGTCTCCTCAAAGTTCCTGTGTCAGAACTTAGACTGTCCTATGCAAGTCCCAAAGTAAGTGGCCCCCAAAATACAAAGCCAAGCTTAGTCTCCCACAGCAAGACGTGCTAGTGACCATCTCTGTCTAATGCTGCCTGATTCTAACTGGAGGGCGTACATTTGTTGAACTCTAAGAGTGACCTGCTGTGGGGGCCAGCGTGTGTGACATGCTGTGTCAGATCTATCTTAATCAGCTGCCTCTATCTTTGTTCTACTTTTAGATGCCTGGCAGAGAAATTGAACTAGAAAATGATCTGCAGTCATTACAGTTTTATTCTGTGGAGAATGGAGATTGTCTATTAGTGCGATGGTAACAATCAACTAATAAAATTTGAGACTAGACTACTTATCATGACTAGGGTTCACCGGAAAATGATTTATTGGAACAGTTCTGTAAAAAAAAATTGAAGTTTTAAAGTTGCCCTAATTACAACAAAGGATGCAATTTGTTGGGAGGAGACCATTTCTGGACTTGTATATAGTAACAATAAAGGCTTTACTAGTGATTTTCTGATCATCGTATTTATTTTTACACCTCATCACTGCATCTCATGAAGATTTAAATATTAAATAGAAACTAGCTAATCTAATAAAATCTGAATATAGTTAATGTCTATCGTAAGACTATATCAAATGGAATTCTCTACTGGTACTATTTTTAAAGTTTACTATAAATTGATTTGGTTTTTGTGAAATGTCCCTTAATCTCAGGGAGACATATCCTTTACTGTGTGTAACGTGTGTGCTATTTGCTCAGTTGCACTATTTTTTAGAGTACTTAAAGAATTAACCGCATGCTTTTCCCTACAGTTATACCTAACCTGAGCACATCTTCCATAAAAGATGATTTGCTCTGATTCATATTTACTTTACTAAGTAAATAGCAGGTAATGATAGAAGAGCAACATTAATTCTTTCAAAGTGTCAGCGATTTACAAATAGCCTTCCCAATGGCACAAAAACCCTGAGTATTTACTTTTATTCACATCCACAAAGATTAGTGTTTAATAAGAGTACTGAACTATGACCTGCAGGATTTGTTAAACGGCACAAAACTTGGATATTAGCCTCATATATAAATGAGTATCTTTAAAACCAAGGTCCAACTGAGGGTTATATTGTGTCCTTTTCAAAGTCAAGTTGCCCACTTCATTCAGAGATCCACAAAACCTAACATTATTTCCAGGAACCCCGAACTTTGGTATCAGTGACCACTGCTCATCCAAGTGGGCACACAGCATTTTTCTGAGTTCTTTTTGGCCTGCAGATGTGCTAATTTAGCTGTGCAGAGCTACTTTGTAATCCAGGTTCAAATTCTAGCTCTGAGTCACTACTCAAAATTTCCTAACCAGGCCAAGTTTTAAACAAAAATCATTATGACGAATTAGCAAAAATGCACCAGAATTTAGAAATACTTCTCCTTTTAGAAAACAATTTGTTATTTTAAAAGTCATCTTCCAATATATAAATAAAAACTCTTCTTATGCTACAGTGTCGATGATTTTTAAGGAGGAAATCTGTGCAAACATGAAGCAATACCACACTGGCCGCAGGAGAAAGTGCCAGCTGAGAACTCTCCTGAAAGACCATGTATTCTACTGCCAACCTGTGCGCTTGTCTCAGCCTTACACAGAGATGTCCTCTGCCCACCTCAGTCTTTACACACTGTTGGGTTTGAGTCGTCATGATCTTGCCTCACACCGACAAGGGTCACCACACAGTTCTTTCAGCTCCCACAGCTCCGTCAGCTCCCGTGGCGAGTACTGTGGGGAGGACAGCGTTCCTGTCTCACGTGTCTTCTCACACAGCCACAGGCTGTCCTGTGGGAGACAAAAGGAGGTGAGCAGAGAGCCAGGCGCTGCTTAGAGAGCCAGACAACACAGATGTAGGCAGGCACTCTGTATGTGACCCGCTAGGGAGGTTTTTGGGAGCCTTGAAATCACCTGCAGACATTTTTGGGTTTTAAAAGGCCATTGCCAGCCAGGCCTGGTGGTTAGTGCACGCTTGTTATCCCAGCACAATAGGAGGCTGAGGCAAGAAGACAATAGTTTGAGCCTACCCTGGGAAATTTAGCAAGACCTTATCTCAAACAATATGAGAAGGGCTGGGGATGTAGCTCAGTGCAAAGATCCTAGATGCAACCCTAGTACCACACACACACACACACACACACACACACACAAAACCATGCCTCAGACAGGAGACTGATAGTGCTGGCAGGGAGGCAGAGGCGGGCGTCTGAAGGGCCACGCTCTTCAGGGATATGTAAGAGACTGAAAGTTTGTGTTTAGAAGGCCCTTGTCTGAGTCTTCCAAGGTGGATGGGGAGGAGTCTCCCTGAGCACCTGGAACTGCAGTGCACGTCGGATGCCCTGAAGCCCCAAGCAGAAATGTGAAGTGCTCTGGATGGCACAGTACAGAACAGTGCAAAGCCTCCCTACATTTTAAAGTCAGGCCTGAGTTTCGAAAGATGATTAGTTCATCATTTAAAATAGTGTTTCTCAATACCAGGAACCCACAAACAAATCCGTGCAAACAACACACTACAGACTTAGACCTGCAAAGACCACACTATTAGAATGATCAAATACAGAAAATGTCTCACATGCAACACTTAAGTAAATCAGAGTGTGACATGAAGTGTGACAAGGAACAGGACTATCAAATCAGCCCAGACAGAGGAGGGTGAACACTCTTGCTCACCCAAGCAGAGGGTGAGCTGCTCTGGTGCCACAGCTCTGCTCCTAAGTAGTGGGCACTGCATTCTTTCCATCTCTTGCACCTTCTACAACCAAAGTATAAGTTGCAGAAATCCAGAATGCAACACAAATATCTGAGGCAAAAGCCGCTTTTTTTCTCCCAGGGCTCCTACTAGATTAGTCTTTGCAGACTCCTTTCCTCTTTCTGGCTCAGCAGTGTGTTTAAATGCTGTCTCAGAAGTAAAATCCTGGATGAAATGTGGAGTCAGTCAGGACAGACACGGGGTCTTCACACTGCCAGGAACTCAGGTAAGTGGAGCCTAACCTTTAAAGCTGCAAAGAACTTCTGAACAACTCTACAAAAACCCAATTCTTTGTGGGCCAGGGAACTTCTATGCCAGCATTTTCTGTTGGTTTAAGCTCATAAAAATATGCTATGAGAAATAACAAGGTGGGCCGCTGTAAATAAAATCAAAGCACTGCTGTGACGGCAGACCTTCGTTCCTTCTGCCCACATCAGCGACCTCCCTCCCCAACTCCCGAGAGCCCCAAGGCCAGCTCCCTCAGGCTGGCTTACCTGGTATCTCCTGGGTCCTATGGCTGCCATCCAAATGCCCATGCTTACATCTTCACCCTACACGTGACCCAAAGTTTAAATGCAAAAGTTTAAATGATACTTGTAAAGATATTGCACTCACTCCCCAATAAACAGTCTTTCCACTTGGTTTTGCTGTTGATCTAGTAGGAAAAGGCAAAGGTGGATTAAGCCAGATACACCAGTAAGTCAGTGACCACTGACGAAAGGACCCCACTGCAAGGTGGGAAGACAGTGCAGCAGGCAGACAGCCCTCCCTCTTCACATGCTGTAACTCCCGGTGCTAAGACCCGGTGCTCCAACAAGACTCAGGAATAGAATTTAGAGGTCTGAGGGACAGCAGAAGTAATGTCCACAACCTCTGAGGGGTGATTCCTATACAGGAAGAACTGCATGCTTTGGCCCACGGCAGGCTGGCTCTGCTCCAGTGACAGTAGGCTGATAAGTCACGTAGGTAAGAAATTCCTCCTACCTGGTAGGTCTTTAATCTCCCCAAGTTGCTTGCCAGCCAGCTGACAATGTCCCTGGAAATCACATAGCCCGACCTGCATGCAAAGGCAGGGTAGGCTGGGCTGGGGTACTCCAACTCTTGCCACTTGCCAGTTCGGTCCACTGCCCAATTCAGTCTGAAACTGAAATTTTCAAAAATGTAACTTCTTTGTGTTGGTGTAACATGCATCCTGCCACTGTGAGACTGGATTCCTTTGTCATCACTACAAAGGAATAAGCTCATAAAGCAGGACAGCAGGAGGAAAACACCCTTTTATGGAAAGGAATTACACTACCTTAAAATATTTTATATAGAAGACTAGTATATTAAGTTCTCTCAAAAATTTCTGAATGGAGCCGGGCATCATGGCACATGCCTATAATCCCAGCACTCAGGGAGCTGAGGCAGGAGGATCGCTGCAAGTTCGAGACCAGCCTCGGCTACAAAGTGAACTCAAGGCCAGCCTGAACTGCATAGCAAGACACCATCTCAAACACACACACACACAAAAAAATCTTAAAAAAAATAAGTGAATAAAAATTTCTGAAAGGAAACTAAGAGACTACATAGTTTTCAAGGACAGACAGACACACCCATTAAACCACCAACTAACTCAGCAGCGCTTCTGACACAGCACAGAAAACGGCTGCAGAGGGGCCAGGGATATAGCTCTGCAGTGCAGTGGCCACCTGGCAAGCATGAGATCCCAAGTTTGATTCCTAGTACCAACCCCTGTCCCAAAAAGAAAAGAAAATAGCCGCAGAGCCTGTCACACACTCATTCTAACACAAAAGACACAGCAGGTTCTCAGCACCACTTATTTCTATAGCATGAAAGTAAACACCACATCTTTTTTCTATTACATCAGCCTGAGATTTTCCATTAATACAAGTTCCTTTCTCATTGTAGAAAATAGTAAAACCAGGAGTCTAATAGGAAATTTCTTACCTCAACTGCTGTCTCATGGAAAGATGACTTGAACATTTGATTCTAAATTAATTACAGTTGGTGCGAAGCCTCACGGTGGGGAGTGCCGGCCTTTGGGCAGTTGGCGTCTGGGAAGCCGTGTGGCGGGAAGTGCCGGACTCTAGCCACGCAGGTGCCTGGGAGGCAGGGCCCCAGCACCTGGGAAGTGGCATGACGGGGTGTGCCGGCCTTTGGGACAACCCCCAGCCATGCGGGTGCCCGGGAGGTGGGCCCCCGGTGCCTGGGAAGCTGCGAAGCAGCACATGCCAGCATGCACCGGCCCTCAAACCAGCCACCACTACACAGTTGAAAACTATCGTGGCACAGAGAAGCAATGACACAACTGGCCCGCTACAAGCCGGCCGCGGAGGCCTGCCTGGGGACATTCGTGAATCATCCCAACAAGGAGAAACCTCTGGGAATACATGCCACACAACTGGTTGCTCTTGCCCCTGCTGTTGAGAACCAGAAAGGTCCAGAGTCAGCAGAGGAGCAACTGCTGAACAAGGACTCAGAGAACACAAGAATACAGGCTACACCCAAAGACTCAAGAGTTCTAGTTGACCGGGGTCACAAGAGCTGTTCAGAAGCTGGAAACCAGGAGGACCTTGCACAATACCTGGGGAGACCCCCCTGGAAGCCATTCTTCCCCTCACAGTACAGGCTGCAGTGGAAGAGCATGTGGAGCTCTGGAGAGGTCTGCACCAAGAGTCCTGCTGCCTGTGCTGACAGTTGGAGAGAGGACATTGGTTGCAGGGTCCCAATGCATTGGGAGGCTGGAGAGAAAAAGCTACAAAAAATGACTTTCGCCCCAGATGGCTCACTTGAATGGTAGTAAGAATTGCCTCCTCAGTATTCTATAGCCGTGACAAGGAGGAGGCCAAGGAGAGAAAACAAAGAGACTGAGAAAAAGCAGCTGCTTTTGCTGCAGCACCAAGAAAAACAGACCTTAAGCCTGATTCTCCGGGCCCCAAGAAGAACTCAATGACTGCATTCATCTGCTACCACTATTAAAAGCCAGGCCACTTCAAGAGGAACTGCCCTAAGAAGCCCCCTGGGCCATGCCCTGAATGCAAAGGTGACCACTGGAGATCGGTCTGCCCTCTGAAGAGGAGGCCCCAGAGCTCAGACCCATCCTACTAGTTAGTCCAACAGGAATGAGGGGACCCGGGGCATACTCTGCCTTCTCCCTCTGGCCAGACTGTCATCTCCATGGAGGAGCCCCAGGTAATCATGACTATAGAGGAAAAAGTAAACAGCCTGTTGCTAGACACAGGTGCAAGTCTCTCAGTCCTTTTCAATCCTAGCCTTCCTTCCAGCTGTCACACCTCAGTGAAAGGAGTCACTGGTGAGGATGTAATATGCTATTTTCCACAGCCATTAGGCTGTAACTACTTATTAGATCTTTTTTGCATATCTCTGTCTTCCCGAGAAACCACTTTGAAGATACCACCATGTATTATGCCAGCACTGATATTTTCCTACTAATCTGTCTATACCTCTGTTTATGTTGTTCCTATGCTATTTCATAAACGGATGTATGTTTATTACTATGTGTTTCCTACAACAACCATTGAGAATAGTCAATGAATATTCAATTGGTCACTCATGTATGGCCCTATTTATTTTCTTTAGAAACCACTTTGAAGATACCAAAGTATAGTACAACAACCATTGATAATAACCTACCACTTTTGTCTGTAACTCACTATTATTTGTGTATTTGTTTTCCTGAGAAACTATCTTGTAGATAACAATATGTAAAACAACAACCATTGATAATTTCCTACCACTTTGTCTGTAATTCAGTAAGCCCCCCTATTACTATGTTATCCTTTTTTTACTATTTAAAATAATAAAAATAAATAAATTACATTTGATCAGGTACACGAATGCTAATGGTTACCCATGTTTTACTTACTTTCCCCACCAAAAGTTAGGCCCATCCAGATTCTTCTGGGTAATTCTATTAAAGATAGCTTCTAAGTCTATGTAACAGTCGTCATCTGTCTTCAGCAACAAACTGAAGCTGGTTGTTGCCACAGTCCTGCAGGCAGGAGACAGACAGGGAGGTCATGGGACTTGCTGGGAAACCACAGGGTGGCGACATCACTAACACGGGAACCCAGAGCTGCATCTGCTCCGCCTACACAGCTTTCCGGGTCTTGCTCTTCCAACACAAAGAGTGTCTGTTCTCACACAACCCTGCTATCTGCCATGGCCTTTGCGCGGCATTTACTAAGTGGCATAACACAGAGAAGCATCAGGCTGACTATTTTTCTGGTGTGGGGACAGAACCTAGCGTCTTGTGGACACTAGGCTAGTGTTCTACCACTGAGCCATACCCCCAGCCCACCCAAGCTGAGTTTAGAAGCTAAAGGAAAAAGAACACAATGGCAAAAATCTGGCTTGACTAAAACATATATATGAACAGACGCTTCTGAGGCATTATTCAGGTCAGGCTGCCAGATCTGTTACCCACTTGAACCTTGCCCTGTGTGTCATACCTACATCTCTTACACAGAACTCTGTTACACAATATGCACTTTATGCTGCTATTTATATTACTCCCAAGACAGATTATGGTTTCAAAAAACTGATTTATAACACCAAAACATTTTCTCCTTGGCAATTAAACTATTACAAATGATTACATGGAAGGAACAGGACAGTGACCTGACTTATCCAGACATCAAAAACTATCTAAAGGCAACAAGAGAACTGACTCACTCATTTCACATCATCAGTTTTTGTACAAGTCTGTTTAAAAATGCATAAGTAGCCGGGCGTGGTGGCGCATGCCTATAATCCCAGCACTCGGGAGGCTGAGGCAGGAGGATCTTTGTGAGTTCGAGGTCAGCCTGGGCTATAAAGTGAGCTCAAGGCCAGCCTGAACTGCATAGGGAGACCCTGTCTCAAAAAAAGAAAAATAAATAAATAAATAAAAATGCCAAAGTTAGGTCCGGGATATAGCTCAGGGGCACAGTGCCTGCCTGGCAAGTGCGAGGTCCTGAGTTTGATTCCCACTACTGATTAAAAAAAGCAGAATCTTGCTAGGGAACTAGGCATTTGACTAATCTTAATACATGAAATTTAGAAAAAATTTCATTAGGTCAAAGAATGGAGAATTTTAAGAAGAATAGTTCTATACCACATAGAATATTCCTGTGTTTCTTAAGTTTATTTCTAATAGCACCTAATTATAAACAAACATTTGTGACAAAGGACCTTTAGGTCACTGGTGACTCAACTGAATACAGATGTTTCATTTACAACATGGAGAGGAGGACTGGAGCGCTGCTCAGGGTCAGAGTACATGTCTAGCACGCAGAGGCCCTGGGCTCACTCTCCAGCACCACGGGCACAAAGTAGCCTGAAAAGGTGCCACGTGGGAGTGTGAGGGTGGCGCGGGCTATGGGAAGGCTGGTCCCAGAGCACAGTCCCACTGGAAGGCCCTGCAGAAAAGGTGACGGCCTTCAAGTGGCAGCAGTAGCAGAGACTGAGGGACTAAGATCTCGGACATGGGTAAGGAGAAGAGAAAGCTTAACTGAAACTGAAGGTACATCATATCATGCAGGACTTCCACACCTGGGAAGGAGTTCCCTATAGGAAGCCCCAGAACACCCCTGTTCTCACTTCTCCTTTCGTCCTCACCCTGACCTCCTCACCACTCTGTCTTGGTCACACCCAGAACTCCCATCAGTGACCCTGAGTTAAAAGAAGGTTCCTTTTCTACAGCTATTTACACTTGGTTCTGGTATCCCAGACACACCCACGTGCCCTCTACCCACAAGATGACTCCAAAATTGTGTCAATGTGCCCCAGCTAGGAAATGTTACCTTCCATTAACTAAGCAGACCATCTAACCTCAGGACCAGGAAGCCATATCCATAAAGCGCTTGTGAACGTCCCATTAGAGAAAAGAAAAAAAGGACAAGACACAGAACCACCAACAAACAGGAGACTGTAGAGAAAGTTCTGAAAAAGCAAAGGTAAAGCTGTGAACCCCTTATAGATTTAAGCTACATGAGACACAGTCTGAATGGTCTGGTCCTTCAGTCAAGGTAGGCAGTACCAAAGAGCTATCCAGCAAATTTCAGGATGTTAGAGTCACTACCATAATAAAATAAGTGACTGCATAGTGTTATTATTATAAAGATAGTGATTACAACTAAGATCCAAGAAACACTGGAAGCTCTAGAAGTTACAAATACGATAGATTCTAAAGCTTGTTGAATTTCGCTGAGCCAGCTTAGAATCCAGGCAAGTAGTTTTTGTTGCTCTTGTTCTTTTTTTGAGAGACAAGGTTACTCAGGCTGTCCTCAAGCTCCTGGCTCAAGTGATCCTCCTGCCTCAGCCTCATGAGAAGGTGGGACAACTGGCACATGACACTGAGCTTGGCCCAAGGCAAGATCTTAAACTGGTGGAATACAGAATGGAAAATCAGTGGATACTCAGCTGAACAGAACTAGTGGTGCAAACTACAGTTGGGGAGTCTGGGTGAATGGGTATGAACAGAGCTGAAAAGGGACCATTTCCAAACTGTCTGACTGTGATCTGATGGTAGCTAGAGACAAGGAGAAATGATTCCAAGGAGAAATGATTCCAAGTGAATTACTTTCTGTCTGTTTGTTTCTGACCAGTTCACACAATTCATACTGTGGATCTGCTCAATCAAATAAGGGAGTGGCAGCATCATAGAAGATGTCTTCACAAGGAGCCAGGATCCCATAGGTCACATTCCAGGCACAAAAGTTCCAGGTTTTTGTGTTTTAAAATCTCAGTAGCTCAATATTGATACTGTTTCTCCATCAAAAAAACAATACCAGTCCTAGCTACCCAATGTTCTCACAACCCACCATCTATAGAAGTTCAGTAGTTTCGCAGGAACATTTCGGTAAGTGTCGACAACATCCACAAAGACAATGTCCCCATAGACTCTGCTTTCCTCCTTCAGTAAGGCATCTTCCTCATGGAGATTCCTCATATGTTCAACCAGCCGCTCAGGCCGAGAGTGAAGGTTACGTAAGAGAGCATCGCCTTCTGCAAAGCAAAGTTGAGAACTGGAGAAAAAGGCTGCTGCAAACTTAAGACCAGGTTCAGACGAGGAGGAATGTGGAATGACAGCTAATGGGGATGGGGCTGCTTTCGGGGGTGATGGAAATATTGCTGAATTAGAGAAAATGGCTGTGCAACTCTATATGAATATACCAAAATCCACAGAACTGAACACATTAAAAGGGTGAATTATGTGGTATATGACTTCTACTTCAATAAGGTTGTTCCTTTAATTACAAGAGATCACCTTTTCTGTCAGGGTATTAAGATTAGGTGTGTGAGATTCAATACGCTTTTCAGTCAACTTACCCTGAACAGTGTAAATAAAACCACCTGCAACTCCCTCCACACCTTCCATGAATTCGTGAGGCAGCGCACCCTCCCCCGCCTGAAAGCAACAAGAACAGAAGTGCTCAGTGTTCCATTACTAAAAGGAAACTTATATTCCCTAAGCCCAACTTGACAGAAGTCCTAGTATGAATCCACCACAGCAGATAAGGCCATGTAAGACGCTGTAGACCTATGCGCAGTGGACCCATACGGTCTGCCACCGTGCCTGCCTCACAGTAGGGCGTGCTGTGAACACTTTCAGAATAAGTCGTACACATCACAAACTTGTTTCAAACTCAGGAAGCAATTCATGGGAATAGGCTTAAAATTCAAAGAAGTCACTGACTTTAAATGCAAAGTGCATTCCTAACCACTATCCCAAAGTACCGAGGAAAATGAGAGGGTGCCCATGACACCACCATATGCACTACTTATTTACTAATGTCTGCCTACAACTTCTTTATTATCCTACATTTGAGAAATGTACCTGTCAGAATTGGATTTGTTTTAAATTTGAAGCAAATCTGAATAAATTAGAAATGAATCAGAAATCCCAGAGATGCTTCAGCAATATAAGTGAAACAAATACTCAATCTTATTTTCCATTCACTCATTCACTCACCATTCATTCATTCACGACAGAGTCCCCCCATGTTGCTCAAGCTGGTCTCAAACTCCTGGGCTGAAGGGATCCTCTTGCCTTAGCTCCCAAGTAGCTAGGACTACAAGTGTACAAGTGCACCTGGCTCAATTTTTTTTTTTTTAAGGGGCTTTTTTTTTTTTGTCTTTTTTTTTTTTACTATCTTTTTTTTGTTACCGGGAATCAAACTCAGGACCTTGTGCTTGCCAGACAGGTGCTGCACCGCTGAGCTTCATCCCCATCCCTGGTTCAATATTTTTAACCTACACTGTTTTAAATGGCGTTTTACTAACAAAGAGAGATAGTGAATATCTTGAATACTATTAAACATATGTTCTGCTGACCTGAAAATGGCTAAGAGGGACAGGTGTGGTGGTGTATACCTGTAATCCCAGCACTCTGGAGGCTAAGACAGAAAGATCTCTGTGAGTTTGAGACCAGACCAGCCTGGGTTACATAGTAAGTTCAAGGCCAGCCTGAACTACATAGTAAGACCCTGTCTCAAAAAAAAAAAAGGAAAAAAAAAGGTTGATACTGAAACACACTTTAAGATGTTCCAATCTAACCAGGTAAGGTGACACATACCTCAAATCCCAGCATTTTGTGAGGTTGATGCAGAAGAATCCTAAGTTTGAGCCTAGCCAGGCAATTTAGCAAAACCTGGTCTCAAAAAAGTTTACAAAGGGCTGGGAATGTAGCTCAGGGCAAAGGCCCTTAGTTTAATCCCCAATAACGTAACACAACACATACACACACAGCATCAAACTTAAAACTATAGTCACTAATTCACAGAATCATACACAACATTCAGCCTCTCATCTTCACAACGGTAGCTCAGGTGCATTTTCTACTCTCTATGCTAAAACATGTGAGAATCATTTGATACCACCTGGGATCCTGGAATGTATAAAAGTAAATTTAAGAACACTTCTAGATATTAAAAAAAAAAAACAAAAATCTGTCATTAACCTAAACAAACACAAGAATTGCTTACCGTAATGACTCTGAGAACTCCCCCTCCATCATTCACCGTGACTTTGGGAAGATTTCTTGAGACGAGGCCATGTGGGTCTTGGCTCTCCCACACTATTGTACCTTCAAAGCTCTTTTGGATGAAGAGACGACTATTGAGTTGATTCTTTACTATTGTCATTTAGATTTTAAGTAAGTATTTAGGTTAAGACTTAAAAATTTATGCCACAACTCTAACAAACTGTTGTAATGTTTTGGTGGCTACCCATGATTGCTTCTTCCACACACATCTAAAAAAGAAATAACACTGAGTATATGGTCAATTCTGCAGCTGGTGTCATTTTCCATTATATCAAAAGCAGCATTTCCTGATGTTGTTGCAGCTGTTACAGCTGTTCTTTGTGGGTACAACATGCCACTAAGTGTATGCATGCTGACTGAGTCAACATTTCCTTAATGTCGGACATCTGGTTGCTACCTAATATCTCCAGAAATAACGTGGAGTGTTTTGATGCACTGTACTCTCCCTAGTGTAAGATTTAGGAAAAGTTACATTAAAGCAACTGATTTTTAAAAATGACTCCTTGTTCATTTGTATTTCTTATTCCTGGTGATGCTGAAACACTGTCCTTTTCTCTGAGAACTGCCTTACTGTGCTTCTTTGCCATTTTCTACTTTCTATTTCTGTTACTATTCTATGTCAACTTTTTACAGAGTACTTATCTTAATCTGTGAACATTTTATATGCTCAAATATTTCTTTCAGTGCCATCTACCACCTATTAATCTTTTTACAAATTCAAAAGTTAGTATGACTTCCTTGTCAAATCAGACAAGCTTTTCCTTTGTGATTACTAATATTAAACTCTAAGCTTAGGAAGCTACACCCTCCTGCCCAAGGCGTGAGGTATGTTTAAATCTTAATACCTTCAAATTACCCTGTGGTCCCCATTTTTACCTCTGCCTGCCTGGCTCTTTAGGACATTCAGGTCTCAGCTCTACTAGCTTCTCCTCCAGCTTTCTTCAGAGTGCCAAGAGAAATGATGCCACAGACTGAGGTGCATCTGCAAGTTCTGCCCCAAGGACCCCAAGGGTGCCACATTGTGCATTAGTAGTTTCATAGATAGTGACGATTACAGATCTGTCTACTGTGTGACAGAGCCCAAGGGAATCCGAGTTCTCACAGTATTTCTCACAGTTTTCAGGTCACTTAACATATAAGAAAAGAGGTTCCGGGGGCTGGGGATTTAGCTCAGCGGCAAAAGCGCCTGCCTGGCAAGCGCAAGGTCGTGAGTTCGGTTCCTGGTACCGGAGAAAAA